GCGGAGAGACAAGAGCGGCGCACACACACAACGCCTCTTAAAGGCTCCACTGGAGGCTCGGCATGGAATCCAGGATTTCGCCCCTTGAAACTTGGCGACGCCGTGTAATTCACCGCGCGCGCGCGCACCACCCGGGACTTTCGGCGCATCCTGGGGACCGCAGTGCCAGAGTGAAAAAGTTCCCCTGTTTCTTAGCCGAGGGACAAGGGACAGGAGTCGGAAGGTTCCAAGAACTCATCGCTCAGGCATTTTATAAACGAAATATTTGGCCAAATCTGGGTGATGGGAGAGCCTTCTCTTAATCAACTCTCTTCCCTTGCTCTGTTTAATGCCTTTTATTTAAAAATTTATTTGATGGGGCCGGGTGGAGGGGGGGGCATCCGATCGGTATCTGTCTTTTCCTTGAAGCTGTAACATTTTCAGGTATGAGGCCTGACATTTTAATAGCTCAAATAAAGCATCTCAGATGCGGAGAAGCAGACCTAGACTTGATCTCATTGTCATGACGCAATTAAAATAAATTTCCCTCCACTTTATCCTCTCTCGTTTGTTCTAGCTAATTCAAAGCCAGCGTCCTGCCACACACCAAGTCGTGATGAGAGGAAATGAAAGATCATCCTGTTCAGCTGATGGACAGGCGGAGGCAGCCACCGATCTCCCCTGTGCACACCCTCTGTACACACATGTAAGCGCACATGTATCAGATGCACATTTATCAATGTACACAGACAAAGACTTCAGCGACTATGCTTCTAAGTCGTGGAACCGTTGAGTTCGAACTTCATTGTTCTCAAAGTTCCTTTTAAACATTCAAAGAGTCATTGAAACCTATAGTTTCTGTTCCAAATGGCAGTACAACTCACACGTACATACACACACAGTCCAAATCCATCTCCAGAGATTCACGACAATCAGAGCAACTTCAGAGCCCATGCCATTGTCCTCACTGTGCTCAAATAATCGAGCGGGCTGTCTCTGAGTTTCAGGGGAGTTGGTTTTACACGCCAAACTTCCAGGGTTGCTCCCACAAGATTCCAGCCTTTCTCTATTATGGTTACCAATTCATGGATTACCATGATCCCATATTCATAAAGGAAAATTCTGTCTTCATCTTATTATGCTTCATAGCAAGAAAAACTGTCAACTGCTAACCCAACGAGTTTTGTGAACAATTACAATATTTTACACCAAAGGACACTGAGCCACAGGGCAGGTGGGGTGGGGGAAGAAATAAAAAGTTAATAACTGTAAAATCCTCCTTGGTAGCTAAAAAATGAGGTGAAATTAAAAAAACACATACAACTGGCACATGTCGATTGTACTCTGTGGTCAATACTCTTTAAACACACTGGCAGAACACTAGGTATGAGTGGAGCAGAGGTGTGGGCAGAGATAGGCTAGTTTTTTTGTTTAGTTTTGTTTTTAGAGAAGGAAATATCTTCTTAAAGCGTGACTCCTGAAACCTTGTTAGTTAGCCCTTTGCCCTTTCTCCTCAGAAATCGCATAGCCTATTTCCCTAAAACTGCAGGTGCTGGGATTATTGGAAAGATGTAAAACAAAGCAAAAAACCCCACGGTGAAATGATCATAAACCTGGTGTGGGATGAGATTGCCACACAGCAGCATCAGGTAGGGAATTTCAAGTTGATTAGAAACACAGTACACGTTTCTCCTATAGAGAAGGATGGCAAAGAAATTATTTCAGAGGGGAACTGTCATCCAGCCCAACCTTTGTGACTTGAAGAATTGCCTAATGCCATAAATTAGTATATTAGGGTTACATACACTCTTAGCAGAGATGTAGTGGGTCTGGTGTTGAGATGGAAAATCTAATGGGCTTTCCCATCTCAATTTTAATAGAAGATGAAAATCATTGATTATAGGGGTATCGTAATCTCCTCTACTGACTGCAGACATCTATGGCGAGACCACCGAGACCACCTTTGACAAGGCACACTGGAGAAGAAGAGAACACTTTCATAGCCCAGTTACAGAGGGTGTTTTTAATTTTTAATTTGAAGTATGACATGATGGCCTTAGATTGAAAATACACAATTCCCCCATCATCTCATACAGGGTTGGAGTTTGCCGGACATAGGATTACAGAACTTCCACGAAGTAGGCTATTTTCTCAGTATTTGAGGATTCGTTCGGTTATGGGATGCTGTTAGATGTATAAGAAATCAATGCATGCACGGTAGTTAGTTTTATTGCAACAAAGAGACAGGCTTGCAGGCTGCAATGAAAAAGGAAGGGAAAGTATTTTGAAATGCCTTCATCAGTGATGCTCATTTGCTTTGAGCAAAGCAGCTCCAAGACTGAAGCATACGTATCAATATGTTGCTACTATTAAAAAAGAAATCCAGCCCAGTCTTTTATTGACGATGCAAATGTATTTTAATGAGAGCAATGGTAAACTTCAATTTGGCTGGAGAAAGTTGGTAAGACATTTGTTTATCTGAAAAAAAGAGACAACACACCAAAAAATAAAAAAATTAACCCTCACCCAACAACCCAGGAATATGATTTTCTTGTAGCAAGTGGCGTGATGGGCTGTGATTCTTGGCAGATTAAATCACAATATGAATACAGACTCCAGCAAACGCCCAGTTTAACTCTGAACTCAGTAGAAACCAGTTCCTTCCACCAGGATTCATTGAATTCCTCCTTCCCCTCAATCTAGTCCGTGTGTGTTTTTCTCTTCCACAACACTGGAGCGCTCTGAATAGGGAAAGGGGCTTCCATTGTGTCCCTCTGAACTTCCAAGTCAATGCAATTTTTAACCACTGGCTTGTGGTACTTTGAAAATCACCAGGGGCTGTCAGAGTTGAGTCCTCTGAAAAATTTACAGTGCTAAATCAGAGCATATGCTGGGAGGGGGAAAAATTGCTTAAGAATGGAGCAAATACAGTATCTGTCTGCCCCCTAGTGTAAGAGTCCTCGCTGCCTAAAATTCAACTTTAAAAGAAAAGCAACTCTTAAAGGGAAACGACTTTGGGCTCACGTAGGCTTAGGAGAATGAAACTTCAGTATATTTTAATCTGAATAATTCTTCAGGATTTAAAATTAATTGGCTCTGGTTGGGTTGGGCCAGATTGAGATCTCGCCACCTCTCCGGTGCCCGAGTCACTGGCTAAGAGGTGATTTTTTTTCCCCCCGAACTGGGTTTATGCGCGTCCCCCTCACCCCCTCCTCTCTTTTTCTTTCTCTCTGTCCCTGTCCCCTCTCTCGTTGGCTTTTTAAACATGAGAAACCGTTCCCTGAACGTTCCGGACAGAGCACAGAATTGCTTAAGTCAGCCCGGCGCGGTTGCAATAGACAGCAAAAAGGTAAACGTTTTCCTGAAAGCCGCACGCCAGCTCCACCGCCCCGCCCGATGGTGAGTACCCTTCTCGTCGCGATTCTCCTCCTAGCTTAACCAAGAGCTCGCCTCCCGGAGCCGAGCCGGGGCCGAGGACGCCGGGCAGGGCTGCTCTCCCTCCCTGCCGGGCTGCCTGTCAGTTGCACAAGGTTGCAGAATGAAGCCTAGAGGCAAATCTAACCGTAAATCCTGATACTTCGTGTGAGCCTAGAGCTCCTTTTTCAAGACCCAGTGTCTGTTAGGAAAGCCGCCGCTTATACGACTGCTTTTTAGTTCATCGTAGGAAATGAGTTGGAGGCGAGATAGGACAAGGAGAAGGGAGGCACCACAGTCTTTACCTTTGATTGAATCATACTTTGCCAGTTTCGCGATTGTATTTCCCCTCGCTCCCCCTCCACCCCCTTTCCTACCACACATATGTAATAAAATATGGCAATGCATTGAATTGACTCTCCCCCCTCCCCCAAACTCTTTCAACCACCGCAGTGCTCGGCATTTCATATACGTTAGCAAACCGATTTTTTAAAAGCCCCAAGTCATCCCCCACCCCACACAGCACAAGGAGAAAAGTGAGAAAGGAGAGAGAGCGAGAAAGAGAGAGAGAAAAAAAATACTGTAAGTAAACATACCAAAACCATATTTGCCTTGTTCAAGGTCCCAAACCGCTTGCATCTTCCTTCTAAACTGGAATAACTCTCCTTTAGTTTGGCGGGTGAAATAAACGCTGTGTTGGCCCCCTGAAAAGATGTGTCTTTGATAATTAAAGAGACTCTCCTCCTCGGTGTTTATCTAAGCGATTGTGCAAACTGATAAAAAGTAGGCACTAGCCTGCAGGGAAAAAGAAGAAAGGTGAAGGGAGCGATCTTCCACCTCAAGGAAGTGCTTCCCGGTGTATTGGGCGCTCTCAGCCCTGGGAAACCCTGCACACTAACTTTAGAGAGACAAGGTTTCAGAGAGCTTTGTACATAGCTGCTGAGGAATGCAAGCCTCGCCTTTAAGAAAAAAAACCCAAACCGTAGGTAGGAGATGTCTGGAGTGATCCTTGTCTCTCATCTCATTCCTTAGAAGGAAGAGTGCGTTGCTACACCTTGTTTGGGGCTGGAAAGACGAGACTTTAAAAACACCCATCCAATTGAAAAAAATCTCCCAACTTAATGAGTTTAGTCGGAGGCTAGAGCAAACGGCTGAGCCTCAGCAGAAAACTGCCAACAACCATAGGCGATATTGCATAGCTAGACGACCCAAGGCACAGCCAAATTCCACTGTTTGGGGTCGAGAGCGATGGAGGCTAATCCTGAAGCAAGTTCTGAGGGGGGGGGGAGCACAAAAACCCAGAGGTGGGAGAGGAGGGTGGGGGAAAGCAGCAGGCTGGAAGACTGGCAGACTAACTAGCTCCCTTCGCCTGGGATCAAAGATAGAACTTGAAACAGGAGGGCAACATTTTCCCTAGGAATCTGTTGGAATCCTTATTTTCTACTTTTAACTCAAATGCCCCCAAGTGGTTCCCCCCCCTCCCTTGTGAATTCCTGCTTCCCTTCCGGTCCCCATTCTAGAACTTTCCAGAATAGGAAACCTATTTCTTTTGGGGGGAGGGGTTCCCCATTTCATGAATGCAAATATAATGAATGCTTGCACCCCTCCCTTCTCCTGCAATACCCCCCCCAGATTGAAAGGAGGATGTAGGAATGCAGTAACTATAGAAAATCGAGAATAAACTATGTTGCCTCTTGCAGTTTAATACAGTTTTAACTAATGGCTTTTTTTGTTGTTTTGTTTTATTTTAAGAGAAGAATAATGGTGAAACACGGATCTTTTATTTTAGGAAACAGTTATGGTAAGATGTATGTCAGACTTGACAAATGGAACTAACGCTCTTCGGCTGCTTCTTGTCCGTGTCTTAAACAGGAATTAAGTTAAACACAGTGCTGAATGTTAATTACATGTTTACTGGCTAATGAAAATTACAAATGGTTTTGCCACCTCAAACAATGATGAAAACTCTGAAGACACTGTAATTATATACTTTGAGGGAAATAACTCAGAATATTGATCATAAGAAGTGTAAATCTTTTTTTAACTATTCATTAATACCATAAATATGGGCTACAGAAGTTTTTCCTTGTGGTTTGTCTCATCAGTTATACAGAGTGGATGGATGGCGAGGCTCCTCCCGGGAGGCGGTGAACTCGTTCTCTTAGGAGAAGGAGGCCACTTGTGTAACTCGGGGTGCTCCACTCCCTTTCGCCTCCGCCCCCTTTAACCTCACTAGAAGGTCGAGCGATAGTTGAACAAGGGGCTGAACTTAGGGCAGGTGAAGGTGATCACAGTGCGGCCTCTCCCCTGCCCACCTTTGGCCTTCCCTCTCCTGGTCTCCGTCCTCCCTACCTAGAGCAGGTCACCCAAATAAACGCCTTCCGCATTCACGCCGCCTGCCACAGATCCAGCTTCGCGCTTCTAATGAAGGACCCACCAGTTAGACTGGCAACATACCACCAGCCCCGCCACCGAAACCCGGCTGCTTATGCCCGCTCCAGCAGGGGTGCTTAAGGTAGTTCTTTGCAAAAGCAACCAGGGAAGAAAGTAGGGGCGTGGGTGGTTTTAGGGTAAGGCGAGGTAGGCACTGAAATCAGAATTGGTGGCCCGGGTTTTGGAGTACAGATCCCCCCCCCCCCCCCCACACACACACACCCCTGCCTTCTTTCTTCCACGTTGGCAGACTTGTATCTCTGGCAGCCACTTGCGATCTGGGGTGGGGGTAGGAGGTCAAAGGTGCACTAACCCTAAAAGCCTGAGTTGGCCGGACCAGAAGGCCCAGCGGGCAGGAGTTTGTCAGCGGTACTGCCTTGCGCTTCGGAGGGGCCAGCCTATGAAACGCGCACGCTGGGGCACTGCACTGAGAGCGGGTTTTAAGTGCAATATTGAGCCTTTTTTTAAAAAAGTGCCCTAGGCTTGAGGGACTGGAGCCCTCTTTTCCCCTGAGAATTCCCAAGGCGCTGGTCTTTGTCTTAGAAGGAATGGAGTTACTCAATGGTGTGAAAGGGACAGAGAGGGTCGCTTCAAATCGATTTTACTTGTCCTTTCTGTCTTTTCGGATCAACGCCCTTCAATGGGCACAGAGGTGCTCTTTCAACCAAAAACTTGTGCTACATTTTCTGCCTGTATTGGTGCTAAATACAATAAGCACTGGGCAGATTTTTTTTCCTTCCCTCTCCAAAGCAAAAAAGCACCCTAATTAAATTGTTTGATATGGACAGTCAAGACGGACCAATTAAGTATGCATTAGTATAAAGATATAGTCTGCAGATAAGGCGGTGGAGAAAATCCTGTGTGGGACAAAGGAGAGGCGCGAACATTGGGGAGGGGCGCGCGGACACCGCAAGGTCGCTCACCTTCCTCCTTGGGCCCCCAGGGAATCGGAGCGGCCATCTAACAGGTGGGCCCCAGTGTTGCTGTCTTTCTGGCCTGTGCCTCTGGCCCAACCGCGGCGGAGCCGGACAGCCTGGCACCCCTCATGGCCTGTAACTCAGAGGACCTCGTGGTTTTAGGTGGCAGGTCCCAGAGGGGGCAGCGAGAGTGGGTTATGCCCTTGAGGGTCGTCCCCACTGCCGACCTGGTGTCCCAGGTCCAGGGCAAAGCCCCGCGCTGAGGAAGGAGCGTGTGCCCCAGCGAAGCAGGGAGGGCCGGTCCCGGGGCGCTGTCCAGGCCGCCGCTGCAGCCTCGGGGCGGCGGCGGAGACCGGAGCCCACGACCCCCGCACGCCATCTCCCATCTGGGCGCGCGCGCTCTTGCCCGCTGCCCAGGAAAGGAGAGCTTCTCCAGGAGTCAAGTTCCCACCCGACAGCAGCTCGGGCCCGGCTTCGCCTCCTCTCGCCCTCCGAGGTGCGTGGAGGTGGGGGCGGGTGGGGAGCAGGTCGCCTGGGAGGAGAGGACCCCCGCAGCTGGGAGCTTGGGCCGCTGGGGGTCGCGGAGCAGCGCGGGTCCCAGCGCGCGGGGCCGAAGGCAGCGCGCCACTGCGGCTTCGAAGGGCGTCCGGGGCGCCCTGGGAGGGAGGGGGAGAAGGAGAGTGGCGGCAGGTTAAAATAAAAAGGTTGAAAAGCCAATTTCCCCGGCGCGCTCTCGTCCCCCTTCGCGGTCGCCCAGGCCGTAAATCAGCGGGCCCGCCGGCCGCCAGGGCGGGAGGAGCCCCGGGCGGGCGCGAGCGGCCCCGCCCGGACTGCGCGCACCTCCCGGGGGGCTCCCCCGAATCGATCCGAAGCCGAGTGGAGGATGTCACAGCACTAAATATTTACTGATCACACACAACTAGCTGGGACTTGAACGATTTTCCTCTGTGCGAGAGCGCAGAGAGAAGGGTAAATCATTTTATTAGTGTGGATAAAGCCCAGAGCACACTCCGGGCTGGAGTGTTTTAAGATGTGTCTTTAACGGGATGAAAAGAGTTAGGGAAATCGATACGGAGTGATTAGGAGCCCCCGGGGTGACGAAGGGGACCAGGGCTTTCTGGGATTTGGCCAGGCGAAGAAGGGGGGCGGGAAGGTGCCATCCTGGAGGGGGCAAGTCCGGCCATCGCCTGGGCGCTCCAGGCGCAGGCCCGGGTCCCTCCTTCCCCGACGGGCGGCGCGAGGGCACAGTCCGGCGCCGGGAGCCCGGGGGCGCGGCTGTGCCCAGCGGGCGCGGGGTGCGGGCTTGCGCAGGCCGCCGCGCGCCAGAGAGCTTGGAGCGCCGGCCTTCGGGCAGCGAGCGACAGTGGCGGGTGTTAGCCAGCGGGTCTGGAGGGGATCGCAGGTGCGGCACGGCGACTCCAGCAGGTCCCCTACGGTGCGGGCGGCGGCGACCCCTCTGGGTCTCACTAGCCAGCCTTTTAGGGTAGAGGTGTGGCCCATACAGGTTGCATTTCTCCTCCTGGAGAAATTTCGGGACCCCACGTCCCCATCCCAGCTTCGTCCTAGGTAACTCATTGTCCCTGGTCTTTTAATCTTCCAAAGGGGATTCCACGGCCAGCCCTAGAGCAGCCTCAT